CAGCCCCGGCCCAGCCCAACCAGGACAAGCTTAAAACCCTGAAAGACGCGAGTAAGATAACCAGCAGTGTCACAACCTTAGCCCTCGGGACAGTGGATTATTTTTATATGTTCAAAGATCTGCTTGGAAGGGTCCTGTGAAGGGCTTCCCTGTAGGAACTGAGAAAAACTCATCTGCAAGAACAACATCCTTGGAATGCAAGGACAGGTTATTCAAAGTGCAGAAATCACATACATCCTGCAAAGTAGTAAATAATTCCTCAGTGTGCTTAATATATACAGGAATTAACTCAATGTGTAATATTTAATAGATGTTTCATTTTAAAAGAGAAGGGTTCAGAGAAATCTATAGATGTTTACTTTTACACTAAATGCAATCTTTTTCTGCCTTTTTTCTTTCAAACGTACACAATCAGATTTGACTGTAGTAGGTGGGGAAAATTGTATGGAAAAGTCAGATAATGTGGGGAAAACGGTTTTTACTTGTGATTTTTATCAGGCTGTCAAGTCTTTTAGACACGATTCACACTGATATGAGCGGAAGCAGAAATATTTAATGGCATTCTAAGTCTGGAATAGCTGTAAAAATGTCTTGTTTTTCTTGTTCCTCGTATTAGAACATTAGTTTGTTTTTCTTGGCATTTTCAAGAGGACATCAGATTAAATTCTATCACTGAAGTGGAAAAAATTAAGCCTATTTTAAGAAAGAAAAAACTTCACATTCCGTACTGAAGAAAAATTGCTCTATTAAGTATCCATTTTACAACTGAAAAATAACTAAGACTGAATGTGCCTGTATAAAAAAGTATGAATAGAAAATTCTGTAATTTGGCAGTCTGTAGGTAAAAGCTATTTGAAAGCTCCTTGGCTGTTGTTGCTATATATTTAAAGAATTATTTGTGACAAGGAAACAAAGATGTCTGTTGACATGAGGATTACTTAAGAAGACTAAACACAAATCAGATAAGCACTTATAAAGTTGACATTTGCAAATGGTTATGTTGCCCTTGAGCGTGATGAATTGTATCGAGTGGTGTTTCTATATAAACAATATCACCTTAACAACACTGTGGTTGGTAGCAGTAATTTCCAGCTTCTCATCCACACACAGTAAATTCTGGTAGTTAGAGACTTATAGTTTCTAAAGTAGTTCAAATTAGTTTTTAAGCAATTTAAATGCAGATTAAAATAGAATTTTAAATACAGAGCTAAGGTTAATAGTTGCTGGTTTTTTTAGGTCCTTTATTTTCTAGGATTTTTTTTTTCCTGTTTCTGTAGGTGAGGAATGAAACACAAACAAAAGGAGAGTGTAAAATGAGGACTCGAGAAGCTTGTTTCATGGTTTCAGGTTTATTGCTGAAAAACGTTACTTGATGCTTATATTAAATAATACAATGTTTAGGGCTGGAAGGAAGCAGCTTTGGAAGCAGAGCATTGGTAGAGTTATAAAGGTAAGGAAAACAACTTTGGAGTAGGATGAGACTAGTAACTATAGTTTGAATAAAGGTGTGAGTTAGGTAGAAGAATGTAGAAAAATTTGTTTTAAAGTGGTATAAGTGGATGATATGGGTTTCACAAAACATTCTAATTATTATCAAAATGGATAAACTTTGCCTTTTAGAGCAAAACATAGTATTTGGGATTGGTATCTGTCATGAGAGGTGTGTTGGTTTGTGTGGTGTGTTTTGTGTGTGTGTAACCAGTCTTACAGATTTATTGGTCGGGTATCAATCAAGGCTTTGATGCATCATTTGTTTTGAAAGGGAAATTTGCATTGGGACGTTTTTATACATTTGACTACTGGTACTTGTAACTTGTCCATGTTATTCAAGTGGTCTGCTAATGGTATAATTTCACAGTTGTTATACTGGTACAATGGGGAGCTTGGTGCTAGATTTGACAACAAAACAGGTGTGGGCTCTGGAACCCAGGAAAGCTGAAGTTTAAGTTCACTCTCCCCACACTTGTAAAATGGGAATAGAATTTTGATGACACTATGTAGCATTTGAGAACCAATAATAAAATACAGAAGTCATTAAGACCCTTGGACTAATTTTAAAAGTTGTCTGAACAAACTGTTCCTGAGTTAATGTGATGTTATAACAACTGTGGGAAAGCTCTGATTTGTCTTTGACATGTAGGAGTCAGCTAAGGAGACTGCCCTAATTCTGTAGGTTATCTGCGTTTTGGAGAGGCGTGAAGAAAAAGATGTGTGTCTGTTGAAAACTCAGGGTGCTTGGGAAGTGTAAAATGGTTTGCAGTTTACTTATACAGGGAAATCCATGAGCAGTGCTTATGCAGTATAAAACATCTTAGCAAGTTAAAGGAAAGACAAAGGAATGCCCTGTTGGTTAAATAAATTTTGGATAAGACAGTAAATTAAAAGAACACTCTTTTTGACTCTTCTGCTTTGAACTTTGTAGTACATTTGAAGTGTCTTGCTCGTCCATAAAGCTTTGATCTGAGCATATCTAAATTCAGTAATGCACAGTACTCTGACTGTACTCAGAACTGTGCTCAGGGACAAGTTTTAACTTGTACAGTTATGACTTGCATACTGAATAACATTCATGCTACCTCTAGTGTCTGCAGGCGCACCAGTCACTGCACTCTCTTACGGAGAAGTTTGCAATAGTCAAAATTTGGTTTCTGAGGCTGTTGTTTCAAAGGAAGGACCTCTCTGAAATCTGATCTTTTAGTACCATCAGCTTAAATATATATACACGTATATCCTCTTGTGGTAGTTGGAAAAGACTTAATTTTTTTAAATTTTAACTTAATACCCATTTGTTGCTTCAGATTGATGGTATGGTGGTTATGGGTTTAGGCATAAGTTAATGTAGATTTAGGAATCTCCCCTTTACTCTGCTTCAGGAGAAAATGTCTACTGAAATTAGTATACTGTGCTAAATTTTTGGTATTTAGGTATTAGGAATTTAAGGTTTTGCGTAATATAAAAAAAGTTACTTGTTACAAATTGGCTAATCATCAAAGAAGGACTTTTCAGTTAACTAGTTTAGTTCTGGACTTGTGTCTGCCACGAGACTGTGTCATACGGTCTTCCTTACATTTGTAACTAACTAAGAGGGGGAAGAGAAACCCGAAATTAAACGTGGCTGTGCTGCTGCTCTTTAAATGAGGAACTGAGGTAAAACTGTACCATATAAAAAAAACTTGGACAATCCTTCCAGATATCTAAGTAAGAAAACATTTATCTCTTGTAAATATTGTTCCATCGGGATCCTCCTGCATCATAAAACATTATGAGACAGCTTTGCTGTATGACCTTGATCAGACTTGCAGCTGATGCTTTTCAGGGTTTGCATGTTAATGTTACTGCACGTATCCACAATTCCTCTCTTACCTACAAAATGACAGCTTATGTTTTTTAGCAATCCTTCCATCTTCAAATCTTACTTTTTCCGTGTGCTATTAAATTACATTTATTTGAATTTAACTTCTTTATCTTAATTCTACTTTTTGGGGGACAACCTAATCTTAAAAGTGAGGCAGAAATATCTTTTGATGGCTGCAACAACTGAGAAGTGTGAGTTTGTGACTGAGAAACACTTCATTTGGGGAGGATAAGAAGTTCTTAGAAATAGCAAATCATCAGAATACAGAAGCATGACAGACAGGGTGTGTTCTTGAACTGCATTGTAGTGACTATTCAGAAAATCATGCATGCAGCTTGCATTACTATCTTGTAATTCCATGTTTTCTCTAGGTACATATCATTAAAAGAATGTGAGTGAACTAGATTTTGGAGGTTTTGTGACAAACTAATGAATGCTCTTGTTACTGGTCCTAGACGTCAAATATTGCTTAATGCTATGTACACACCTATACACAATAGCTAGTATGTTTGTTATAGGGCTTGAGAGACTGCAGTTAAGGGATTGGAAAGCATTACAAGAACTGAAACAAACATCAGGGTCTGCTTGCCGAGTTTGAGAAGAAGGTCCTCATGGTTTCAGCCTACATAAACAGCAACTCGTAAAAGAGGCAAAAAAAATGAAATCATCAAAGGTCATACCAATGTAAGATGAATACCTGTTGTAGCAATATATTTAGAATTCTGTGCTGGAAATACAGCAGAGTACAAAAGTAGTCTCTCTGTAGTTCAAGTAAAACAAAAGGAGCTTTTTGCCAGATAAAGTAGAAGCTGACCAATTGGCAGAGATTTGGTTTTATTTTTCTGTGTTAAAGGTCCATTATCAACTGTGCTCTAATTACTGCAACAGCGTTTTTTGGGCTTCCAGTGTTAACAGCTAGTGTGAAGCTGATTCAGCCCCAAATGGTTGATTTTTGTATGTCTTGACTAGGGAGAAAATTTCTATCCTGATTTGAGAATGTGTAGGAAGGGCCAGTCCTGTGATGACATGTCACTTTTGGAAAAGTGGAGGCCGTATTAGGGAATGACAGAAGTAAAAAAGCATAAACTTCATGTACAAATTCTTCTGCTGTTGCATTCTTCAGGCATATTTGTGTGAAGAACAGGATTTGAATATTTGCCTTTAACATGGAAAAACTTTTCCAGTGCATTCAGCATTTATGAAGGCATGCTAGTTATTACAAGTTTACCAAACATTTGAATTTTTTTTTTTTCTAAAAGTAGGAAAGATATTTACGTAAGGGTATAAAGTATATTATGCAAGCCCTATTGGCTCTGGAGAAGCTTGTGGATAAATTGCTTGTACGTACTTTATGGAGTTACTAGATTTTTCATAATCACTGGGGAAATAAAGATTGAATTTACCATCAATGATACATAATTCTAAATTTCTTTTGTAAATTAAATGATATTAAATCTTGTAATCCACAAGCACAATAATACCAGTAACTATTCTAGGAGGCTATTTTGACTATAATGTAATGAGTGGTATTACATATGGGAATTCAATTTAATTAGAAGAGTAGACATACTGCTTGAAGAATGGTATAATAGCTATAGTTAAGCACATTTGTAAACACTTGTGTACCTTGAGGCTTGTGGCTTGCTTTATTTCTCATTAGATTAAAGAGATAACATGTGAAACCCTAGCTTCCTCCAGCAGCATTCGTCTTTATTAGAGAACGCTTACAATATCCTCCACAAATAACAAAGATGGGTCAGAATCCTGTCTTGGTGGTCAGACGTGAGCAGACTGAGAAGCTGAAAGTAGGGACATAAACTGTTGAAGATAACTTGCAAAATGACAGAGCTGTACATATAAAATACCTTTTTTTTTTTTCCTATGTTGCCTTTCAACAAATAAATAATATTGTACAAAAGACTGATGATAGAAATTTTGTGCTAAATCTGAAAATGGAACACAGGCAATCAAATGCAAAATCATAACATATTGCTTCTAAAAATTTAATTTGTGTGCCTTAAAAACATAAATCACAAGTATGGACGAATGTAATAGCCTTTACTTTTTAAAACAAATTTTAGAATTTCCTTAATTTTTGTCTTCAAAATAGATTGTGAATTATTCATTGTCCACTTTGTGTTTTATAACAGCAAAAGCTTATAGAAGAGAGGGAGGCAAAACGTGCTCGACTAGATGGCAGGCACAGTTACTTACTGGATATCGTTGTTTCTTGTGTGAATCTGGACAAAGCAGAAGTAGAAGATGCTATTCTTGATGGCAACCAGGTAATCTGATGATTTGATTGTGAAGCTCATAGGGTGCTTTAGAACTGGTACTACCATTAAATACTCAGTGAGATAGTTGTCAGACTTTCTCTGAGATTACTCAAGTCTTCTCATTGAAAAAATGTTTCTCAGCATTTTGTAATTAAAGTTAATAAAAGTGTCTTTAGTTTCAGGACCTATTGTAATAATATTGATTTTGAAAATTATTAGATTTTCTGCTTTCCATTGGCTGTAGATAGTACAGTAAAACTTGTGACTCTGGATTGGATCCACAGCATGAAGTCCCTCAGTTCTTGAATATCTAGTACGTATAGATTCAAGAGTCCTGTCTGCAGTAGGCTGCTTCTTGTTTTTTCCATTAGGCTGCCACCAGCATTTGTGAGACCACATTGTGATCTATTTTAGGAAACCAAATCAGGTGGAAACTACTTGACAAATTAGAATGGCTAAGTGATCTGACTGACTACATGAGGGTTAATGAAGGGGGCAGGCAGTTAGAAATATGTAAATGTAAGAAATGGTGCATCAGAGTTGATGGTAAGTATTACATGCAGTGAAGATCCGTTTTGTCATTTGACAAGAAATAATTTTTTTTTTTTTTTAAACCTAGGTAGATACCAAGTAGATCTTGTTTTATTCCTAGCAAGTAGATATTGTTTTATTCTCTGACACTAGCATGAACATGGTTGTGGATTGTTTTTGTTGTTGACTTTTCCCTTGTGTTCTTTATCCATCTATATACCTTCAATATATGCATTCCCTCTTCAGTGCTAATATTGTTGAGAACTGAAGAAAGTCCAGTGGAAGACTGCCAAGGTAGTGAAGGATGTAGGGCACGCAAAGTATGAGAAGAGGGAGTATAAAAGATTGAGGGGCAGTCAAATAGTAGCCTGCCGTTTCTTGAAGAGTAGTTACAAAGATGACAGCTGAACACTTCTCAGCAGCTGCAGATGATAGGACAAAGACAAGACACAACTTGCAAACTGGACATTAAGAGACCCTTCTTCACCAGGAGGGTAATGTAACATGGGAATTGGTTACTTAAGTGAGTTGTGGAATTTCTGTGCTTGAGGTTTTTGAGCATCAGCCTAGGCAAAGCTCTAGATGACCTTAGCTGTTGTTGACTATACAGGAGGCTGGACTCGGGATCTCCCAGAGGTTCCTTCCAACATTTCTGTGATTCCATGTGATGTGGGAAAATAAGATGTGCAGAACACTGTCACACAAATTAAAAAGCAGAACTTGTTTCAACCTTTGTGAATTCTATGTCTAAATGGGTTTTCTGGCAAGCTGTATTGCCTGAGAATAACTGTCAGATGACAAAAATGTTGGCAGCTGCTATATTTAGAAAGAGAAAAGTGTAACAGTTGTTTTGACCTTATCTTGGAGGGCTTAGCTGGGGTTTTCTGGAGTAACAGTTTACATGATCTTGGTGTGACTGAAGACTGTTGTTAATGGAAGAGGATGAATGTGGCTTTCTTCCTGCTGCTGGTGATCTCTTAGCCTTTTTCCTGCGCTAGGAAGCAAATGTTTCTGAAGAACTTCTGGAAATAGAAACCTTTTCCAGCATAAGATTGTTGTGTAGTTAGGGGCTATATGAAACAATGACTCATAGATCTAGAAGAATAATGGATTATGCCTGATTCTCAAGTGCTGAAATATGGATCATCATACTAGCACAGAGCAATTAACTTTCTTCCAGGGCCTGTATGACCTCTATGTGAGATTCCTGGACTGCACTACCAATGCATGGTTCAAGGATGCTTAATGACAACCTTGAATTGATGGAGAGCTATGAAATTGTCATGATGCTTACAATATAAACAAGTTAAGACTTCCTCTATTGCTATGATATGGAACAATTGCAGCTTTGTGTTTCTGGTTTTGGCTAGTTAGCTGAATGGCAGTAAGAATAACGTGGTTGAGGGACTTCAATGAAGTGCTGCTGCACTTCAGGAAATGAAGAAATGCCCTGTGCCCTCAGTTTGAGAGACGATACACAGCATGTACATGTACAGTAAATGGTGTCAGTAAACTGAAGCACATCCTGGCTATATTCAGTCATGTTCAGCATGGAAAAATCTAGATGATCCAATTTAGGTGTGTGCTGCTAAAGGACAAGGCAATTCAGTCATTTTTTAGAGGGGTAGTAACTGGGCCTGGTATAACTTTATTATTGAACAATGATAATAGGATAAGTACTTGTCAGGCCTTTATGTTAGTTCTGAGCAAGTTAAACTTTTCATAGTGGGTATGCTGTGCTTAATAATCTCAATGTGATCTCAAACAGATAGAGCGTATTGACAAATTCCTGGCCCCTGGAGGTCTGCGTCATCTGGTGTTCTATTATCAAGATGTGGAGGCAACAGATACAGGTAAAGCAGCTCAAGTTCTCTTGCAACATGTTATAGTAGTACTGAGCAAGTGTGCAAGGAAAAAGGAAATAGCAAGACTCTTATAAACTGAAGCTTAAAGCAAGTCAAATTTGGTTGTACTGGAACATCAATCCTTGTTCATGAACTGAGGACTGATGAAATTGCCCAATCTTATGAGCGCACTTTTGCATCTTGCTAACGTGCAGCAGCAGGGTGTTTCCCTGCACGCCCAGCAGCTCCTGCTGGGGGCTGGGTAGCGGCTTTCCATAGTTAACAGATGACTGTCAGACAAGGTGAGCGGTGACTCTGCCCCTCCCCTCCAGTCATGCCACCAGTCTGCCCTAGGAGCCCTTTACACTTCTTGGCACATGACCCTCTTCCATCCAGGTGGTCCTATTACCTGACAAATGGCCCCAGGAGGCCTGCATTAGGGGTAGCAGGACCATTATCCCAGGAGTCCTTTCTGCTCATATCCCCTTCCCATATCAAGTGCCCCCATGTTACCACACTTCTAGGGGAAGCCTCCTTCTCACTTAGCCTGGAGGCAGCTCAGGACCTCTGCTCCTGTGACAAGGACATCTTCCTTCTGCCCATGGCTTCTGTTCCGGAGCATCCAGTGCTGCTGCTGTTGGGACTAGCCAGATGCTATGTGACCTCTAAGACCCTTGTTGGTGGGAATTCATCCCACTTGTTTATCCTGGTTGTACCAGAAAGACCTCATAAATATATCTATGTATTTCTATATAAATATATGTTTGTGCATATGTAAACATATACCTACATCAGTGTACAAATATGTATTTATAGCTTGTGTTTTCAGTGTGTGTATATATGCACCTTAAAGGTATGAAAAGACTGTCTAATGAGATACAAGCAACTTTAGTAATTACCATTTAAATGTATATAGAAAATTATATGAAAATGCAATCTCAGCTACCAATTCAGAAGTCTGCTGAGCAAATTTTAACATGCATGAGTTACAGTGGTGGAAGTATATTGGAAAGAATGTGAGGCAAATGGCTAAGCCTGGGAATTTAGAGTCCCCTTCAACCACCCCCAGATTGATCAGATGACTCTACAACATGATTGTGGTGGCTTTTGGTCTTTGGGGTGTGATGCTAGATGCAGGCAACATGGGGGAAAAAAAAAAGCCCAAACAAAGAACAAATGAAACAAATTCACAGCAACATGTTTTCTGATGCAGATATGGATCAGTGAATACTTCTGTTCAGGCAGACGATGACCCCGTGAAGGGTTCATACAAAACATTCAGTGTCCCTGAAGATCAGGAGATTGTGCATCTCTGAGTTCAGGAAGATGTACTCCAGAGCCCTAAGAGGTTGTTTTAAAAGTCTGGTTCTATGCCTGCCATCACATCCAGACTTTTTTCAATGTTTTGAATGGCACTTTTAATATCCAACGACTTCTAGCACCCTTTTCAGTAACAGTATGTATTTTCTAAAGAGACTGCAGAGTTTACTACCTGTTCCAGCCTCACGGGTTTTGGGAGTGCCCTGAAAACTGGGATGGACTGTTGCTGGTCTAGCCTCTGTAATTACTGAAGTACAAGGATAGTGCAAATTCTTGCGAATTGGCAAGAAATCAAATTCATAAAACTCTGAGAGTCAAGACTGTTTTGCTAGTGACAGGGCCCTTGACTCTGAGCCCAGAGACTTCTGCAGGAGCTGTGATGAAAACGAGGAAGGGGAAGGTGTTGTGAACAAAAGGGTGGGGATGGGACTTATGGGTGGTGACCTGATCCAAACCAGGGATCTCTGGGGAAGATGGTCATGTGCCTGAAAGAATAAAAAGCAAGGGACCTGTTACTTTTTGCAACTTTTTGGATGTGGCACAAGGCACAATTTTAGAGAATTATTTTTCCCTCAAAGACATCGTTACTTTTTGGTGACTCTACAAGAGTTACCAAGAGCCTAACCATAGGTGGAGTATATTCATGTTGGGGCAAGAAGAAGGGACAGAGAGGTCATAGGATCATAGAATGTTTTAGACTGGAAGGGACCTCTAAAGGTCATCTGGTCCAACCTCCCTGCAGAAGTAGGGACATCTCTACATGGGTGAGGTTGCCCAGAGCCCTATCTAGCCTGACTTTGAATGATTCCAGGGATGGGGCCTCCATCCCTGGAAGCTAAAAGTCCCTTCTAGCTCCCTTATTGCTTGTTTATTTTGTTCATTTTCCCCCAAAATAATCTATGGTGGCATCTCCCTCCTTGTTTCCAAAAGCACTCTATTTTTTATTTTTTGTATTCTAGGCTTATGTCTACATATTTTTTGGGAAAGACACTTGATAATAGTTCCTCTGAGGTAAACTACACATGCTTTTTAAAAAAAAAATAATTTTTTTTAGCAATAAAATATTATCTGCAACTGCGTGGTAGAGAGCCATGTAAAAGGATCTTGAGCCTGAACCTTTGCTTAGAAGGAACAGAAAACAAATAAATGAATAGAAATTGAATTTTCATGTGAGAATGGCAAAACTAGATGAAATAGCTCTTACTGTGCTGTGAGGGCTCTGAATGCTGTGTACTGTTCGTGGATAGTCCCCTGGGGTGACTCCAGGGGACTGGGAGTTACACAAATGATGACTGCACTGTTTGTTTAGAAATCTTTTATTTTAATAAATAATCCATGGCTTTAAAAAGTTTCTTTTACTTGAATCTATAGAGTACTTTGGCCTTCCAGGAGCAGGAA